TCAACAATAAGGAAGTGATTTCCTCTGCTTTCATGTCTCCAGAATACTGCATTTGGACCTCCCACCTCTTGACACTTTTTACGGTGGACCAAAGCATTTGAAGTACATCATCGCTTAAACAGCACCATAAACTCAAAGAGCAATGCACGAAATTATGTACACTTTTGCTCTCAACTCCACATGATTCTGAAGTGGCATGCTACTGAATTATCCTCATGAGACGCTTCATGCCATCCAAAAGACGCGGTTAGCTGATATAGTGAAAAGTGCAAAATTCGGGAGTGTTGCCCATTCCGATGTGGAGGATGAAGGGGAGGAAATGCAGTGGCTCTCCTTTGTGTTTGGTGATTCATTCACATCCCTGATTCCCTTACTATTTGACTTTGTCCGCAATTCCCTAACCGACTGGTGAAATGTGGCCCAAGAAGCAAAGAAGCAAAGTAGCACCTCTGTGATAGTGCCTTGGTTATAAGGGGCAGACAGTGGCTGGTTCAGGCATGGTCCAACTGGTGCCGCTATAGATAAAAACACCTATGATGTGTCAAATTGGTCCAAACTGTTGTGGATGCAGAATTACATAGCAAAAAGGATTCGGTCTCCTTTCCCATTTCCTTTTCGCGCTGCACAGTGACTTGGTCATCTTTTCTTCAAGACAGCACACTCGCCTACTCCCATCAGGAGAAGCGGAGGTGTAGGAAATCAGCTTTATTGTGGCTGACAACGCGTGATGGCGACATTTTTGCAGATTTGTATTGGTGCCGCTCTTCACTCAGTTCATTCAATGAGTGAGGCAGTTAGCCAGGAATTAGTGTAGGTCGTTAAAATTCAGAGTCGTATCTGAAGTGGTAACAGGTCTATATGGACTAGTGAGGGTAAGAGAGGGCAAAGGAGTCACCATTGTGGTGTCGTTGCAGCTCTCATGCATTGAATTACTTGTGTGTATGCCCAAGCACCTTGCTGTGAAGCACATTCATGCTTCCTAGTTCAAGGCGATTGTTTTCATGAGTGCCTGTCACCTTTTGCTGTTCTTCACCCTTGTTCACATTGATCATCTGTGTGTAGTTATGTCAGGCCAATTCGTCCTCCATTTATTACCACAAGTAAGCAAGTGCCTTGAAGAACTATTGACAGCTCTTGAACTCCACTCATTAGTTAGCTGCTGTGAGATCTGCCACCAAGAGCCTTACCCTCATGTTCGCCAGTTTGAAGCTCAGCAACCGTGATGACAATCAGGTCTCAGCAAAATAGCTTATTCCAACAGAATCCAGGTGGCCTCCATAACTGTTTGGAGGTGGCATAGAAGGCTTTGCTTTAGCTTAAGGCTCGCGATCACTGATGAACTGATATGAGTTCCTTTGCCGAAACGAGATGCGAAAAGTGCTGGTTGGTGGTGCTTGACACCATGCGAGGGAGTTACCTCGTTCTCATGCACACCTCCGCGAACTGAGTGACATCAATGCCACAGCGCCAGCGTAGGGTGCAAGTAGAGAGGAAGGTTTTCATTTAGTAGAGACATGACAGCTGCCAAATGAAAGGCAGTTGTTGCGAATTTTGGTAGAGCCCTCTGCTGTGCTTTGTCGAAATGAGACGAGTTCCCAGTAATTTGGGATACTCATCTCACAGCCTGATGGTATTGCTGAGTACTTCAACCAGCCAAATGCCCAACTGCCATCACTGTGTCACGTTAACTAGCCTTGGGTGGCACAAATCCGATTAGTCCACCACAAAGATAGGTGCCAAATTGAGTGTCATCTGAGTGGGCAGTGGCATTAACTGCTGCATGTTGTTGGACGCGTCATGACCAATGCTGCTGGTGTTGGACTGATGATTGTTCAACAGGCCTATCGATGGCCTGAATGAAGCATGTTGACCTGAGGGGCTAAGATGTGCAGTAAGTGCGTGAGTCTCCTGCGAATGTCATGACTATGCTACTTAAGTAGGAGGAAGTGCACTTCATCAAGCAGGCTTTTTGGTCACCTCGACATATCCTTACTTGACTTCTTTTCGGGTACCGCAATGGGCGAAATGCGAAAGGTAGTGGAGTGCAAAGTCTTGGATGTGGGCACCTCTGATGGATAGTCAAATGCAAGAGGGCTCAAAGCAGAGGGTTAATCGGATTCAGCGGAGTGCAATTAGCCTTGAGTGGCTTAAAGACTCCATCATGGAGATACTATGACACTGTTGTGTAGGCATGTGCATTAGGTCTGAAGATGATGTTGATAATGGTGGTGATGGTAATGTCTCCCATGCATCAAGTGTATGTGCGGAGGCCGATTCGTGATTAACGGCACAGTTGGCATACCAGGTGCGTTCCAGTCTTGGGCATCCCTCCACTTTGTGCTGCATAGATGCGTCGAAATCAGTACAAAAGTGGCTTAGGAAGAGGAAGTTGCAGATGCTGTGTGATTGGGGTCATGGCACTCAGGTCAAAGCACATCCTACTTGGATGGATAATCGGCATGTCGCTTATCTTCTTGCTGACAGTTGTCAGTCAACCATGCAGATATGGTTCCGAGTGCTGTATTATCTGCCATGTTTTCATGGCATCCGTGTCCTGATCCATAGGCATTTTTCCTGGTCTATGAGGTGCGCAAGTTGTTACATTAGTAGAAGAAGAAGACGAAGAAGTATGGAGAAGAAATTGTGACAAGTCATCGCCTCC